GATTAACATAAGAATAAAAATAAATAAATAAAAAAAATTAAACTCTATATTTAAGCTATTAATAGATTTCAAATTTCATCCAAAATGCTTACCTATATTTGAAAGTGCATATTCATATATTAACAATAACTCTGACTGGCATACCTTGTTCTTATAACTTATCTGTTATGCTGATTAGATATGATACTTACCCTTGAGATCACTTGATGGGTGGCCATATCAAGTTTAGGGTGGCCAGAAAGTGAAATAGGGATTTGACAAATATTTTTTAAATTAAGATATAATTGACATATAACATTGCAATAGTTTAAGTTGTACAGCATAATGATTTGATATATTGTGATATGTGTAAAATATATTGTGAAATGATTACCACAGTAAGTTAAGATTTATCACCACACAGTTACAGACTTTTTTCTTATGATGAGCACTTTTAAGATCTAGCCTCTTAGCAATTTTCAAATATACAATATAGTATTATTAACTATAGTCATCATGCTGTCCCTGAAGTTCCCCAGGACTTATTTATCATATAACTGGAAGTTTGTACCTTTTGCCCCCTTTACCCATTTTGCCCACCTTCCTCCCTCTACCTTTGGCAACCACCAATCTGTTCTCTGTATCTAGGAGTTTGGGTTTTTATTAGATTCCACATATAATTGAAATCATATGGTATTTGTCTTTCTCTGTCTGACTTATTTCATTTGGTATAATGCATTAAAAGTCCATCAATGTTACTGCAAAAAGCAGAAGTTCCTTCTTTTCAATGACTGAATAATATTGCATTCTATATCTAGATCTAGATATCTCACATCCTTTGAATCCATTCACCTGTCAGTGTGGACACTTAGGTTGTTTCCATGTCTTGGCTATTGTAAATAATGCTGCAATGAACATGAGGTTGTAGCTATTTTTTTCAAGATAATGATTTCACTTCTTTTGGATGAATATCCAGAAATGGGATTGCTGGATCATATGTAGTCCTGTTTTTAAGTTTCTGAGGAGCCTCCATACTGTGTTTCATGGTGGCTACAACAATGGCAATGATGGTGAAGCTGAAAAGCAGATTTTGGCTAAATAGCCAGGTCAGAACACAGCTGAAGTTGAGTATATATCTCACTTTTTTGCAAGAGAGTAACATGCTCTAATGGCAAGAAGGTGGTTAAGGTGACAGACCATAGGATCAAAGTCGCATAAAGATAGTATTAACGAGGGCGCCTGGGTGGCTCAGTCGTTAAGCGTCTGCCTTCAGCTCAGGTCATGATCCCAGGGTCCTGGGACCGAGTCCCACATGGGGCTCCCTGCTCGGCGGGAAGCCTGCTTCTCCCTCTCCC